AAATGATGTCGCATGGCCACAATAGCGGCTGCACGATTTTGGATTTCTGGTATTTTACTTATTAAGCCTGGAAGTATTTCTGCTGAGAGTCAGATAATTATGAGATTGGTTTCTGTGCTCTGGAGCCATAGCTGTGTCGGAGAGTCGCTCATGGGGGGCAACTCGCGAGCCGGGAACGCCCCCCCTTCCCATGAGGATTCAGTCGCCCCATCATGACCAGCTCATACCTGGCTTTCCACAAAGCTCCCAAGCAGCTGCCATCTTTCTTTCCAGAGGGAAAAAGGCGGAAGGGACCAACACCCTTTCCCCTCCCGGCAGGCATTGTGGTGTGGATTAATGCATAGTCCATTCACTTTTCTGCTGCAAGCTGCCTGGCCCTGCATTAAGTCCTTGTGCTTCTGGATCCATGGCCTTGCCGGAGAGCCGCTCATGGGGGGCAACTCGTGACCTCGGTAGGGCGTGAAGGATGAGCCGGGAATTCCCCCCCTTCCCATGAGGTTTCAGTCGCCCCATCACGACTGGCTCATACCTGGCTTTCCACATAGCTCCGAAGCTGCTGCCATTTTTCTTTCCAGCAAGAGTTCCCATTTTTTTAGCCCTTATAAATATAGATCCATGAAATTCTTAAACAATGTGGAAATCATTTATTAAATTCTTTTCAGTGTATATAATTCAGGGGAATGTAAATTAAAACAGCAGTTGTGATAGTACTTAATCATATTTAGAAGGGATTAAATTTACTGAAAAGCTGAGATTTAAATTATTGGGAGAATGTGAACTGAAATGCTTCATTGCTATTGAGAATGCTAAACTTAAGAAGAACATTTAATAGTTTCTAATAATGATAATATAGTAACATTTTAGAAGATATAGTTTAATTATAGTATAAATAGTATATATAATTAAAACCCAATATGACAGTAACATGTTTGTGGACTTGGGGATTATTTATTCATATGGACATCAGTTGAATTCTTTAAATTTTAAAACAATTAATTTGTTTTAATTTTCATAAAATTCTAATTACACATCAAATCCTAGAGGATACTTGGTTGGATTTTTAACTGTAATTATACTAAAACTGGGCTGGAGCAATAGCACAGTGGTAGGGCATTTGCCTTGCTCGCAGCCAGCCTGGCTGAGCCAGTTCAATTTGTCCGCAATTGCTCCACCCCTCTTGGAGAGCCCGGCAAGCTACCAAGAGTACTCGCCCACACGGCAAAGCCTGGCAAGCTACCCGTGACGTATTCAATATGCCAACCACAGTAACAACAGGTCTCCAATGCAGTAACAATAAGTCTCACGATAGAGAAGTTACTGGGCCCACTCGAGCAAATCGATGAGCAACGGGAGGACAGTGACATACTAAAACTACAGGCACAGTATAATGATACATTCTAATCCTCAAATGTTAATTGATATATTTTGTCCTCTCAGCAAAATCAACACTATATTTCTAAATGTAGAAGTAATACTCATTTTTTGAAAAATATATCCCACGTCTTTGCTCATTTCTGTATTTTAACAGTATAGGCAAGATTGAATCTATGCTGCATTTTTCTATGGTGACTCGACTCCAATAATTTTTCTCTAAAGTTTAGTAGTTTGTAGATTCCTTTGGGTTTTCTAGATCCATACAATGTTGTTTACAAACAGCAAGTTTTATTTTTTTCATTCTTTGTGATTTTTTCTTCCTAATCTCACTCAATACATCATCACAATATTTAATGGAATATTCATAAAGTGAACATTTATGAACTTTCTGGTTTTACAATATGTAGTTAATAATAATCAAATTTGTATGACATTAGTTCTTGATTTCCATAGTCAACAATTTCCTCCCTATTCCTCATTTGAATGCTCAAGTATTTTCTGGCTGACACTAAAATCCTGAAAAATTCCATGAAGTCACAAATGCTTGAATTTATATGTTCAAAGGGAAAGTCTTAATTTCCTCTTAGTTCTACCACATAACCTTCACTCCTCAGTCTCAGTCTGAAGATAAACCCTTTCTGTGAGTAAAAGAAAATACTTATTAAACTTTTCATTTGGAATTTTAAAAAATTTGAAATCAAAATTTTGAGATGGGCAAAGATGAAGACTCTGCTCATCTCTTTGGCCTCTGGTCTGCATCTTTCTTCCACATTAGTAGGTGATAAATTTGATTTGCATAGTCTACAAGCAAACTCTGAGGTTTCACTTCATGATTCTTTCATTGTTTTTCAATTTTCTAGATTCAATTCCAAATACTATAGAAGCATCTTCCATTATTCAGATCTTCATAAGTTTGCCCTTTATGATTGGTGCTATGTGCAAAACCTGAAATACTCTCAAAAGTTAAACTGGATATATGTAGGACAACACTGTTTTGTTCTTCCTGCTTAGCCTCAGGTAGTTTAGGTTTATTGGGTTGCCCCATCACAGTGCTTCCTCTGTGTTTATTTGTAACTTCTTTCTTTGTGCTCTGTTGACTTGTAAATATTGTTTTTCTCTTCTCTCTAAATCCTTTGCATAGTTTATTCAGAGCAATGTCTTTTTTGTATGGTCACAAGGAGACAGTATATGCTATGCTTTTGTAACGTGACCTTCAGTGATATTTTCCTCCTGGGTATCTGTTCTCTGGACCTAAGCCTCAGGTTCTCTTACTTCCTAGTGCACCCCAAAGCAGGGTCACAATGTCCCAAAAGCAGGGTCCCGATGAGGGACTGGGTGGAACCAGGGCAAGCGGTAAGCTATGTGTTACCCTGGCATTGAGATGGACCTGGTCAAGGTGGTGCCCAATGCTTAACTGTAAGTTAAGAGCTTGGTCATGGACAAATGCTGTCATGATCCAAAAAGTAGTGATTAGATTCGGATCTAGTGGCCTGAGTGCTGTAGTCTGAGTTTGTGGCAAGATGTTCCCAGAAGAGCTGCCCTACAAGCCTCAATGTTATCTCTTATTGTGTCCATACAAAATAACTAGTATTAAGAGGTTGATAGTTACTGGACTGAGGAAAGGAGAAAAACACCTTAAGAGGTATTTTGCCGTGGGCAGTCAGGAAGAGCTTTGGAATACAGAGAGCACAGGGCAGCATGATGCAGTGAGGAGAGACTAGCAAGAGGGACAGAGAGAAAAGGATGTAGAAAAAGAATGCAGGAGCGGGCACATGGAGAGAGAGAGCTCAGGCTGTGAGATGGAGTGCGGAGCGATGAGCAGGAGAGACAGGAGGAGACAGGAATAAGGAGCAATGTGAGACTAGAATAGGAGGCTCGAGAGAGATCGGGCCAAGAGCATTCGGAGAATGGAATAAATGGCCTCTGATCAATCAACAGGCTTGGCCCTCATTTTGTCCACTGTCTGCCCCATGGCCCAGGCCGCCCCAGCTGGCCAGCGGCCCCAGGGCCCCCAAAACCAGGCTGTGAGGGGGAGAGCTGTCGGGCCTCTCCCCAGCCACCCCTCGAGGTTTTATACAGATATATTTTGTTCTCTCTCCCCTTGTGATTATCCCCCTTCTTCCTTTTCTTTTTGTTCTTATTTTCTTTTCAATTTCTTCAATAATTGCTCTGTTTCATCAGAGTAAAAGCTTTATTAGTAGGCGGTAAGGTCTGCTCTAAACTCTCTCCCTATTCCAGTACTCCATAGTGAATTTCTTACAGTTCACAACAGAATACTCTGTCCTAGTTATTTATCTTAAGTACTTTCCCCCTTGCTCCTGGGCAGACAAGTTTCCAAATACACTTCATATATTAGATTAAACATCGCTTTCTCAATATTCCCTCACTGTTTGTTCTGCTGTACATGCCCTGAGCTCACTGCCATTGTGTATTGTTTCTGAATCACCTTATTTGTTCAATACTTTCTTCCTTCATATAGTGTAAGCAACATGAAACAGAAACCATGCATTATACTATACCCTTAGCTAATTAAAATGTAAAAATAGATGCTTTTTAAAAAAATTTCATCACCTTTGTATATAAAAAGATGCTTTATTTACTATATATTTTTAAATTTTACTCTATTTGCTATATTTTTAAATTACTATAAGTAAATCCACTGAATGAGTGCTTGTGTATAGATAGACATCAGGCAATAATCATAACCAAATTATTTTGTGACAAACACTGTATCACTCATTCAAACTACAAGTACTCTATAGGAGATTTTTCTGTAACAAAAGTGCAAAGCAGATATTTAAAAATAAATTCAGAGAAGTCTTTTGACTGCATCTGTATCATCACTAACAAGTTCATCTGGAAGCATTAGTGACAATGCTAATATCATCAACTCTAAAACTGTTCTATATTTTTTTTAAATTATGCTGCCAAAAATTATGCTGCCTGTTTAGATATGATTATATTCTTTTCCACAAACGAGTTATTCTCTGCAGCTGAGACACACAGAGAAATGTTGTACATCTGCAGGGCTAGATTGACACATTCTAGACAATATGATGTCACTAAAACAGAAGCCATGAGCTATATTTTATATTTTCTTTAGAAAATGTAACATCCTTAGAGAATTAGACTTTGTATAACTTGACCTAGTATTAGGTACTCCATTCATTCCATCTAGAAACAAAGATCTATTGTAAGCCATAATGCCCAAAAGTAGAGAGAGAATATGGGGAATATTGTCTGCTATGCAGATGGTGGGAGGTGGGGAAGTGGGGGGATACTGGGGATACTGGTGGTGGGGAATGTGCACTGGTGGACATATGAGTGCTTGATTATTGTGTGATTGTAACTCAAACATGGAAGTTTGTAGCTATATTTCATGGTGATTCAATTAAAAGAAATTTTTAAGAAAAATGAAACAAAGATCTAGCACTGGACTTGCCACATAATAGTTAAGTAGAAATTTATTTAATGAATCGACAAAAATGATCACATGAAAAATACAAATAAAACAGAGCAATGTTTATTGATTGATTCGTGAACATGACCATATTAAAAAAAAAAAGTATAAACCAAATGACTGCCTTCAGTTGTAAAACAATACATTCCTGGGGTAGAAGCTCCATCTAAACAACACAACTCTTACAGCGCTGAAGACCATTCTCGTTGCAAGCAGTACACTTCAAGGCTTTGAATGAGTCTGTAAAGCAGTTGCGAAACACTGACATCTTGCTCCCATGGCACACGGAGCATGGTAGGAAGCCAAAGCCGCCACAGGAGGGACACTCGTGTGGATGCTGCACTCTCTGTATAATGGGCAAAGAAGATTGTTAGCGGGAACAACTCAATTAGCCTCCATGTCGTCTGTTTACTGTGGATGGTCATAAAGCAATGCTGGCGTAATATGACTCTGAATTTAAACTACTTACCTGAAAATTACTTAGCTACATTCCATGCAACCTATATTAGACCCGGGGAAAACTCACTGAAGTTTTGTCTTTGTCTTACTGATTGTTATTAGTAGCACAAGCTTGGTTTTCAAAACCATGCACATTTAAGGCAAAATAAGGATATATGCTTCAAGAAATCCATCATATAAGATACATATTTGAAATCAAAAAGCTCTGAAAATTTATTTAGAAAAAGTAATGTAACTGTCTCTTATTTTTCTTAACAGGTCTTTGTCTTTGTAGAATAGTATCACTATGGTATGTCTGGAAAAATTAGAAAACTAAAAGCTGAAGTGTGGAAGAACCATTAAGAACTGAAGATCCATCTTCTTATGGCATCTGTGAAGAATGCTTTAATTTTTAAAGCATTTTCAAATGTACTATCTTCAGGCCACACTCTCCACAGATACAGACACTATCTTGTATACAACAGTTAATTCTGCATTTATTATCTTCCTTATACATTTAAGTAAAAGGGCACAGAAATCTAAAGACATTTATTCTAGTCCATAAAACTTGCAACAATGCCCTTGTACTCTCAAGTGAAAATAAAATAAAGTACCTAATAGTACAAGAAAACAGTATCTAAAATAGCTATGCAAGCGTGTTGCAAATGCTAGCTCTAAAAACCTTTCATGCACATTCATATTTGTTGTGTCGAGCAAGTAGCTTTTGCTGGATTCCAGAGTTGCCTCAATCAACTACTGCAGAATGGTGGAGACATTAGAAATTGTTTTAGAAAATGCAAAGAGAAAATTAAGTTAATATTATAAGGGTAGAATTAAAAGGTAGCTTATAAAGATAGAATTTTGCAGTGGTGTGTGAAAGACCAGTTTTGTAAAGAAAATAATTTAAATAGAAAGGGTCACACAGAGATAAACACTTAATATTTTTACACATATATACAGTTTTTCTCTGAAGATTTATGTAGCAAAGTCTTGAAAAATAAGAACTGAAAAGGAACCTAATTGAATATGATCCACCTTTTTTTACCCCAGGACACACTATGTAACACTTGTCACAAGAAACAACTATAATTCTATCATACTAGTGCCTTATGGAATACGTCAGAAAACTAACATTAAGCACACGATTGCTTTAAAATTTATATATTTCCAGATCACTTTTCAGGTAAGCATTTTCCATATTTATAGCAAAATTCACTAGCAATTACAGTTTGGCTTATAGAAAGATTGCAAAATCCATGTAATATCTCATTTTTAGTGGAACACAGTTACTTTGATTAAAAGTAACAGTTGCCAGAATGAATAGCACTGGAAGAAACTTTGTCAAAATTGGAAAGATTTAAAACTATTCCAAAAAATTCAGTTTTGTGTATTATAGTGCAGTAACTTTAGATGGAGGTAGGTGGTTTAATTTTAGGGGTTATTCTTTTGTGTAAGGTTAGTCCCTCCAAAAGTGTAGTAGACTTTTAAAATTTCATATTTTTTCTTTGGGGGCAATATCTGACTGTGCTCAGGGGTTACTTCTTTTTTTTAATTTATATAGTAGTGAAACAACATGAGATACAGTTGTAGAATTGCAATTTTTTGTGCTTGGGTTTCAATTATACAATGATCGAGTACCCATCCCTCCACCAGTGCCCATTTTCCACCACCACTGATCCCAGTATCCCTCCCACCCTCCTCACACCATCCCACCCCACCTCTGTGGCAGGGCATTTCCTTTTGTTCTCTCTCTCCTTTTGGGTGCTGTGGTTTGCAAAAGAGGCATTGAGTGGCAATCATGTTCAGACTGTAGTCTACTTTCAGCATGCATCTCCCATCCTGGGATCAGGGGTTACTTCTTACTCTGCACTGAGGGAATCACTCCTGGTACACTTGGGGGACTATCTGGGGTACCAAGGAGGATTAGTCACATCAAAATAGAAACCTTACCCACTGTACTATCTCCCCCATCATAATTTATCATATTATTAAGTAAAGTAAAGTAAAGGCCCTCCCGTTGATCATTGATTTGCTCAAGCGGGCCCAGTAACATCTCCATTGGAGACTTTGTTGTTACTGTGTTCGGCATATCTAATACGTCACGGGGAGCTTGCCAGGCTCTGCCGTGCAGGCGAGATACTCTCAGTAGCTTGCCGGGCTCTCCGAGAGGGGCGGAGGAATCGAACTCGGGTCGGCCATGTTGGCTGCGTGCAAGGCAAACGCCCTACCGCTGTGCTATCGCAATAGCACAGCGGGTAGGGCGTTCGCCTTACAAGCGGCCAACATGGCCGACCCGAGTTCGATTCCTCCGCCCCTCTCGGAGAGCCCGGCAAGCTACCGAGAGTATTCGATATGCCAGACACAGTAACAACAAAGTCTCCAATGGAGACGTTACTGGGCCCGCTCGAGCAAATCGACGATCAATGGGAGGGCCTTTACCTTTATCATATTATTAAAATATCACCAAATAATAACATATTGAATAAAAGTAAAACCAGTGACAGAAAAGTGTAGTCTAAGCACAGTCTCATGAGAATTATCCAGTAATAGAATTCTTATCAAGTTTTAGAAAGTTATATGTTATATAGCTTTAACACTGGCTAGATCTATACTAGGAGTTAGATGAAACATGTATATAATTACTAGTATAGCAACAGCACAAAGGTAGATAGAACAGATGCTGACTGAAATCTTGGACAAATGACTTTCAGAGCTTCCAAGTTCTGGAATTCACTCATCAATGATGGACTGTGAGTCAATCTGGGTTCCAAGTAAAATAGGACTGCCAAAAATTTTTCAAATAAAAATATGGGATACCCAGTTAAATTTGAATTTCAGATACACCAAATTAATTTTTTACATAAGCCTTTGCCAATTATTTCATGGGACTTAAACTAGAATGTGATTCACAAATTATCTAAGGCTTGGGGGCTAGAGTGATATAGCAAGTAGGATGCTTGTCTAGGTTGAATGCCCAGCACCCTATATGGTCTTCTGAGATCTAGCAAGAGTAATTCCTGAGTGCACAGCCAGGAGTAAGCCCTGCTCAGTGCCAGTGTGCCACCTACCCAATTGTTTGAGACTCAGTAGGAACATGGTTCCACTGAGATGATTCTCAGCCAAACAACTATCAGTGCCAACTAGCAAGGCTCCAGGCAATGCTGGCCATGAGGTTTTGGGGACTCAAACCTGGATTGTATATATGTAAGGCCTATGCCTTTATTCTTTTTCTATTTTTCCTGTCCAGGCATTCTACATTTCATATGGCTACCCTTTGAGAAGAGTTACTGATAGAAAAGAGATGTGTGAGTATCTGAGAGGAGTAGTTATTTACCAAAAAATGTAAAATAGTGCTGTATCTTAACAACTGATACGAACATGTTTTAGTCCTTCAGCAGCCAGTACAGCTATACCAGTGAACATTAGCTGAATTTTTGTTCTTACCTAAGATATCTGTGAATATACATATTAGTAAATGTCAGATAAATTTTCCATAAAACGTACTTTCAATAACAAGCAAAGAACAAGAGATGTTAGATAGTCTAAAATCTTAAATCTTAGAAGATAGTGCAACTTCCTTAGGCTCGCTCATAGGTTATCTCACTCACTCCAGTCTCAAGGATCCTTGTATAAAGATTTCAAAATGGCAGCTCAAGAAATTAAAATTTATTTAAAATTGTGGATCTATAATATAATTTACAAATATTGATTTCCAAAATGCTAAAATACCAAACAGATATTGCACATCTGTTTGATGAACCGTCTTTTTAAAAGTTTACTCAGAAGCCAGAATAAATTTTCTGAAATAAAATGAACAGAACATATAAATAGTAAAAGCTACCTTGACAGTTTGAGGTTCTTTCAAATAAACCAAAGTTATTCTAAGATAATGTCTTTTAGGGTGTCTGCAGTATACTAGGATCTGTCTTTTATGAAAAGAGTTGTTGAGAGAATTCAATGAGTTACTCTATAGTAAGTGAACAGAACTTTGTCCACACTTCTTTTTTTTTAATAAAAGAAGTTATTTATTAGTCTTTATTTAATTAATAGATTCTTTTTTAAAGTTTCTCTATTAACTTCTACATTGCTAATGGCTTCATACAATGTAACAATGTTCTGTAAAACTTGTAAGCATTTTATTTAAATGCTTCCTCTAGCCTTAGTCTTCTGGAGTAAAAGGAGCATAATTGTGTTCCACTCTAAGAAGAGAAGAAAAAACACACTTCAACTCACATGCCAATTCTAATGTTTTGGGTCCAGTGCTGGAAAGATTTTGAGGTTACTTGCATTCTTAAGAAAAATGAGCTATTTCAACTATAAACTCCTGAGAGGAAAAGGATAGTTTACATAGCATGTCAAGTACATGCCCAATACTCCCATCTACTGGATGTAACATGCTTCCACTTTCCACATGATGAAACAAAAACCAAATGGTTTAAAGAAAATATTCAGCTAACAGTGAAAATAGAAACTAGAGAACTCTCTTCAAGGGCAACACACGGTCTTTTCAAAAGTAGTTTTCTGCATTCTTTACATTCATTTTTCCCAAGTAATATATTACATGCAATCCCCAGATATAGCACTGTAGCACTCTCCTCCCATTGTTGATCAATTTGCTCAAGCAGGCACCAGTAACATCTCCATTGTGAGCTTACCAGGCTCTGACGTGGGGGCGAGATACTCTCGGTAGCTTGCCAGGCTCTCAAGAGGGATGGAGGAATCGAACCCAGGTCAGCCGCATGCAAAGCAAACGCCCTACCCACTGTGTTATTGCTCCAGCCCAAAATAAATAAATAACATAAATGGAAAAAAATTTTAGCACAATCAAGTTAAAAGCAAGCAAAGTGGAGAGAAGACACAGAACCTAGGTTGCTTCATCCAGATATAACCGAATTAAAAAGATATGGC